GCATTGGCAGCTGTCTAAAGGGCGTGTCGCGCGCGCGGCTCGGGGCTCGCGAAATCGTGGCAGGCGCAGCACTTTGGAGATGCCATTGCCGAAGTCGTGGCAGGCGCAGCATTCTGTGCATCTGAGTGTGTGTTTGCGTGGCAGGGGCAGCATTTGGCAGCTGTCTAAAGGGCTGGGATGTTGTCGCGCGCGCGGCTCGGGGCTCGCGAAATCGTGGCAGGCGCAGCACTTTGGAGATGCCATTGCCGAAGTCGTGGCAGGCGCAGCATTCTGTGCATCTGAGTGTGTGTTTGCGTGGCAGGGGCAGCATTTGGCAGCTGTCTAAAGGGCTGGGATGTTGTCGCGCGCGCGGCTCGGGGCTCGCGAAATCGTGGCAGGCGCAGCACTTTGGAGATGCCATTGCCGAAGTCGTGGCAGGCGCAGCATTCTGTGCATCTGAGTGTGTGTTTGCGTGGCAGGGGCAGCATTTGGCAGCTGTCTAAAGGGCTGGGATGTTGTCGCGCGCGCGGCTCGGGGCTCGCGAAATCGTGGCAGGCGCAGCACTTTGGAGATGCCATTGCCGAAGTCGTGGCAGGCGCAGCATTCTGTGCATCTGAGTGTGTGTTTGCGTGGCAGGGGTAGCATTTGGCAGCTGTCTTAAAAAAAATGGATGTTGTCGCGCGCGCGGCTCGGGGCTCGCGAAATCGTGGCAGGCGCAGCACTTTGGCGCGGCTCGGGGCTCGCGAAATCGTGGCAGGCGCAGCACTTTGGAGATGCCATTGCCGAAGTCGTGGCAGGCGCAGCATTCTGTGCATCTGAGTGTGTGTTTGCGTGGCAGGGGCAGCATTTGGCAGCTGTCTAAAGGGCTGGGATGTTGTCGCGCGCGCGGCTCGGGGCTCGCGAAATCGTGGCAGGCGCAGCACTTTGGAGATGCCATTGCCGAAGTCGTGGCAGGCGCAGCATTCTGTGCATCTGAGTGTGTGTTTGCGTGGCAGGGCAGCATTTGGCAGCTGTCTAAAGGGCTGGGATGTTGTCGCGCGCGCGGCTCGGGGCTCGCGAAATCGTGGCAGGGCAGCACTTTGGAGATGCCATTGCCGAAGTCGTGGCAGGCGCAGCATTCTGTGCATCTGAGTGTGTGTTTGTGGGCAGGGGCAGCATTTGGCAGCTGTCTAAAGGGCTGGGATGTTGTCGCGCGCGCGGCTCGGGGCTCGCGAAATCGTGGCAGGCGCAGCACTTTGGAGATGCCATTGCCGAAGTCGTGGCAGGCGCAGCATTCTGTGCATCTGAGTGTGTGTTTGCGTGGCAGGAGCAGCATTTGGCAGCTGTCTAAAGGGCTGGGATGTTGTCGCGCGCGCGGCTCGGGGCTCGCGAAATCGTGGCAGGCGCAGCACTTTGGAGATGCCATTGCCGAAGTCGTGGCAGGCGCAGCATTCTGTGCATCTGAGTGTGTGTTTGCGTGGCAGGGGCAGCATTTGGCAGCTGTCTAAAGGGCTGGGATGTTGTCGCGCGCGCGCGGCTCGGGGCGCGCGAAATCGTGGCAGGCGCAGCACTTTGGAGATGCCATTGCCGAAGTCGTGGCAGGCGCAGCATTCTGTGCATCTGAGCGTGTGTTTGCTTGGCAGGGGCAGCATTTGGCAGCTGTCTAAATGGCAGCATTTGCAGCCGTGCCAGAACACATCATCGAGCTGCACTTCAGGACACCCCAATCGAAAGATTCGGACGCGTGGATGTTTTGGAAGTTGCTTGCATCTGCGGTCGCGGGAGCGACCTATATACGCTTGTAGAACCAGCTGCAATGCAAAGAAGCCCGCAGAAATGGGGTTCCGCTCTTGGAAGGCTTTCGTCTTGAAGTACTTAGCGCCTTACAGCGCAGGATGCATGGGGCCAGGCTGGCAGATACATGCTGCGCCTGACGCGATGGCACTTCAAGCCATATGTTAAACATATGCCGCTGACATATGCCATTGGCGATGCGACCCCTCGATCTGCCAGAGCGAAAAACAAAGCGCTGAGAGTTTTCGACATAGCTGACTGCGTGAAGGTTTTGCATGTGAGGGTCTTTGCATGTCTCGGATTTGGTATTATTCGCTGCTCGGCAGATGCAAGTGTCGCATACTTCAATAAGCATAGACTTGTGGGGTTATCCGGCCCTTTAATTTAGGGGTGGCATGGGCGAACTAGCAATGCGCAGCGCTGGCTCAAAGGTTCTGTTGGTCCTTGGTCCTCGGTCAAAAAGGCCATCAGGGACTACTAAATTATGAAGAATGTCATGAAAGCCATGAAGCCTGGGAAGGCCATGCACGTTGTCAAAGCCATGAAAGCCATGAAAGCTATGAAAGCTACGAAAGCTATGAAAGCTATGAAAGCCATGAAGGCCAACTCTGGAAAGCGGAGCAAAGCTTATGGTTATGGGAGAGTGGGTTCCAAGAAGCAAACTGATGGCACGGGACTGTGTCCTCAAAAGCAAGCAGCCCTGCAACGTGCCAAGCATGTGCTGGGAACAACAAACTTGCAAACCATGAATGAGATCATCATGAGACCAAACCCTTGGAGCAAAGAAAAATCCTGGGCACCTTGATGAGCCAGAAGAACATCAAGATCTTTGTTGAGAACGCCCGTGCCATTGCCAGGACGGCCAAGGTGGGGGAAGACATCTATGAGACTGCGAAAGAAAGGGGCATCGAAATCATTGCGGATGACATCCCCAACCTTTCGCATTGAAGCCACGCTCAGTGGAGACCTTTGTCCGGCTTGTGACGATGGCAGTGTACCAGCTTGAAAGGGATCTCATCGTGGAGCGTTTGACCAAGGGGTTGGAGTTGGCGAAGAAAAGGCCCAAACGCACTACCCAATTTGGGGAGGCCAAGGTCAACGGATCTCGGTCCCACTTGGAGAAAAAGGCCCCTTCCAAGAAGCAGTTGAAGAAGCTCCGCCAGGTGATCAAGAAGCAAAAACCTGCAAAAATATCTTCAGCGAAAATTCCGGGCCATCTTGAGGAAGCCAAGGCTGGGCATCCACACTGCCAGGCGCATGGTTCAGGAGCTAGAACTGAAGCATTTGTAGCTACTTTTTTTGCTTGTGTTGGGCCAATGAGTTTCACCATGCGTTTCACATTTACTGAGAACTGCCAGGAAAGATGGGAAAAGGCCGCATTGCCGCAAAACACTGTAAAACTGCATGGTTTTCAGCCCCAAAAATATCACAACATGTGGCGATAATAGGAAAAACAAAAAAGCGCTAAAATTTGTGGCAGAAATGTGCGTTTCGTGTGGGTTTTGAGCCACGGGTTTCTTTGCGGAACGGTTTGTGGAACGCCTTTCGCTGGAAAATCACCTCCTTCCTTAAGTCAAATCAAATCAGCCCCGAAGAGGTACCAACATCCAACCAGAAGCCAGTCCCGTAATTAGAGCTTGACCCTGCCCCGTGCCATGCACCTTGGCGAAGCCGCTGCAGCACTCTGCGCCAAGCTGGCAGGGTCCTGGCGGGCTCAGGGAGGTACAGGGGTCACAGGGTCAGTGTCAAGCGTCAAGTCTTGGAACCCGAACTCAATCAAAACCAAGGACCAAGGACCGACGAACACCAGACTTAATGAGGCCAAGGTAGTAAGCAGGTTGCAAAAACAGGTCCAGAGCTACTTGTGGTTCAGTTCAAACCTTGACAACTTGTAAATGCCCACACACCCCTGAACCTATCGATTCACACTATGCCATAGCCCTCACACATCCCTCACCTCAAGTGGTCCTGGGCACCGCGCTGGAGGGGGAGGGGTTAAGCTTTTGTTTGTTCAACTAAGGGGCGTTCTGGTTGAAGCCTGGGCCAAAAAGAACTGAAGGACAAGGGTGAAACAAGGGCATTCCATATGACGAATCCAATCTTGCTGCGCACGGCTTCCGCAATCTCTACGGCAAGAGGCATGACTGACCCTGACTTGGTCGCGCTGTTCTGCACGCACGCGTTGCCTAGGCAGATTCGAGCGCGCGCAGCTGCTTTGCCACTGGCATTGGCTGGCGGGTCTGCGAGTTAAAGCAGGTCCTTGGTCCTTGGTCTAGCCCAGGACCAAGGACCAGGAAAACCACGGGACACTGCTTACAGGAGCCTTGTGAAACAAAACAAAAACCTCCTAATGGCCGCGACAATGCAAGCCCAAGATGTCAAAAGGGGTTTTGTTACGCCATTGTGAAACGAAGTGGGTGAAAGTACAGGAACATCATTGGGGTTTCAATGGGTCTGTTGAGTGGCAGCCTGGGGGCATGGCTAAGACGGATGATGGATGCCACACGCTGCCTGCAAATAAGCAGCACTACAAGGCTTGGCAAGCCAATGGTGCTAATGTACACCATTGCCTTGCCTGAATCCGAATGGAACATGACAACCAAAGGGTCGGAAGTTGTTTGTGCGGCGCAACGCGCCACGTGCCACGCGCCAAGCGCCACGCGATCTCACGTGCTAGCCTGGGCAGGTTCCTTTTGCTGCCCCTTGCCCCCCCATGCTAAAAAAACAGCTTGCAAAAATTAGGCCCCGCGTGCAAAAACCAACGCCCCAGATGCCATGAACAGAGTTTATATGTATATGTATATGTATATGCAGCTATGCATGTGTATATATACATGTACACATAAGTAATATTTGTAGCCTTGGATCAGCGTATTTTCTTTGGCTCTGAACCTTTCGGGGAGCTGTGCCTGTCGAACAAATCCTGCACTGCGTGCGCTGCTCGTTCCTGGACCAACGCAACTTATTGTAAACCATGTCTGTGATCTATTCCAGGAACATCTCCTGAGCAAAAAAGGCAATCCTGACCAGTTGGGATGGATGAAGCGTTTTGGCCACTGGTGCAGGCTATGCCACAAGGAAACAAACAGGGTATGTGAAGGTTAGAAAGGCCAAGAAAAAAACAAGGAAGACGTCAGCTTCCCTCTACTTTGGTGGTTTGGATTGGCTTGTTGAAGCTTGAGGGGTAGTTTCCCCTTCCCTCCACAAGCACCAGGGGTTCAATTCCCGGTCTGGCTTCACCGAGAGGCTCCAGCTGACTGAAGCGGCAGAGCTGCTTCGGCAGGGCGCCGCCTGGGTCATTCCATTGTGGTTGGCGAATTCACCACCCATTTTAGGCTTCCCATTTTCGTGGATTGGTTGATGTTCACTGGGGGTACGACTGACCCATATCCATATGGGGGATAATAAGGAACCTCAGCCTTCCTCAATTTGGTGGTTTGGAAGTCAGGAGGTCGCTTCCCTTTTTCCTTCAACAAGAACCAGGGGTTCCAATCCCCAAACCTCCAATAGAGGGGACTTGAGACATCGAGATTTGAAGGGACCGAAACCAGGATATGAACCAGCTGGACGTTCGCTGGGCCTTCATTTCAGGATGGAAGGGGTACCCTCAAAAAAAACGCGCAAACACCCACACAGCCACACTGCCACACACCCACACACCCACACACCCACCCACCCGACCGCCCTTTGACATATGGAGTACGTGATTCGAGTGGGTAGTTCGAGTGATTAGGTGGTTCGTTACATGGCTGCACTCGGATAACAAAAAGCAAACGTGCGTCCAACAGCATCCCGGTTCATTTTACCAAGCTAACAGTGGAGTCTTCGTTGGCACAGGCCCCTGCGATGCTGCTCGCATTCCCTGCAAACATGGGTGGTTCCAGGGCCCACACACACACACCCACACGCACACGCACACGCACACGCACACGCACACGCACACGCAGACACAGACACAGACACAGACACAGACACAGACACAGACACAGACACAGACACAGACACAGACACAGACACAGACACAGACACACACAGACACAGACACAGACACAGACACAGACACAGACACAGACACAGACACAGACACAGACACAGACACAGACACAGACACAGACAGACACAGACACAGACACAGACACAGACACAGACACAGACACAGACACAGACACAGACACAGACACAGACACAGACACAGACACAGACACAGACACAGACACAGACACAGACACAGACACAGACACAGACACAGACACAGACACAGACAGACACAGACACAGACACAGACACAGACACAGACACAGACACAGACACAGACACAGACACAGACACAGACACAGACACAGACACAGACACAGACACAGACACAGACACAGACACAGACACAGACACAGACACAGACACAGACACAGACACAGACACAGACAGACACAGACACAGACACAGACACAGACACAGACACAGACACAGACACAGACACAGACACAGACACAGACACAGACACAGACACAGACACAGACACAGACACAGACACAGACACAGACACAGACACAGACACAGACACAGACACAGACACACAGACACAGACACAGACACAGACACAGACACAGACACAGACACAGACACACACACACACACACACACACACACACACACACACACACACACACACACACACACACACACACACACACACACTCACGCACGCACGCACGCACGCACGCACGCACGCACGCACGCACGCACGCACGCACGGCACGCACGCACGCACGCACGCACGCACGCACGCACGCACGCATGCACGCACGCACGTCACGCACGCACGCACGCACGCACGCACGCACGCACGCACGCACGCACGCACGCACGCACGCACGCACGCACGCACGCACGCACGCACGCACGCACCCTCGCATGCGTGCATGCGTGCATGCGTGCATGTGCATGTGATTCTTTCAGGGGGGCCCTTTTTTGCGTGGTTTGGGACACTAAAAGGCCAACCACCATTTTGGGGGGTCCGGAACCTGGAAAAGTAAGGCAAAACCCCTTGGTTGTATACACAAGGCAACCCCTGCCTTCCAGCCCCTTGATATTCAGGAGCTTCAGGGACCGCGCGGCCCGCCACTGCGCCAGGGACGACACCACCATGTCATCGCTCGTCTTCGAATCCTTACCTCCAAGATAGTCTACACCCCCAAACCCCAACTGGGTGGGTGGCTCGTCTTCATCTGAGGGTGCCCTTTGTTTGTGGCTTGAAATGAAGAACAAGATGAAAACTGGAAAACAACAGAAAAAAAGACACCACCCAACGGAAGCTACTGGGGCCCAGCTGTTGAATGGGATGTATTGCCAAACAAAACGCGATGCAAAGCTGGTAAAGGGTGTAACGCGGCTTGGGGGGGAACTATGTTAGATCATCTGTGTGTCACATGTGTGTGTGTGTGTGTGTGTGGCTGCCACATTCCCAACACAATGCACAAAAGAGACAAAAAGTCGACGTTGGTTCTGTTCCGTATTGAGTCTACCACAAAATGTTGTGTTTTTGTTTAGAGGAGGCGCAAGTAGAATTCCAGAAAGCGAAGAGGAACATCATACACACCAGCTGCAGAAGTGCAGGAAGTTTGCCAATCAGTTTGGGCCAACTTCCTGTAGAAATTCCTGGTTTCTAACATACTGCGGGTTCTTTGGCTTGAATTTGCCATCAGGGCGCCCTGTCCCGGAGCTTCTGCACATCCAGCACCAGCTGCGTCACCAGGCCGTCTTCGCAGCGGACCTCCTGGGCCGCGCAGCCTGGCGGCGAAAGCGACGTCCCCAAGAGCCACGGCCAAAACTACTTGTGGGCGTTCGGCCATGGGTCCAAATCCAAATCGTACCCCCAGTGAACATCCCAATCCCCACTAAAATAGGTTCTAAAACGGGTGGTGCACCTACCCCAAAATGGGATCCCATTGGTTTGAGTCCCCAAGACGTCGTTGGTTTTGTGTCCCTTGGACTACTAAAAGGGAGTTCGCCATTTTGAGAAACTCGAGAGCATTGGAAATTTAGGGCTCGTGAGGGCTTTGAGGGAAATCTAGAGCTCGTCCCCTTCCTCCGGAAGGCACCTCGACATGTTGGAGATTTTGACCAAATCTCACATGGAAAATTAGCGCTCATCCCGCCACCAAAGCGGCAAGGACGACATAAGGCACATGCAAAACAAATGTCCCAACAAACAGCGTCCCCACTTCAAATGAACCTTTTCTTGGTGCATGATCTGTTGCTACACAAATTCTGGTCTTCCTTTTGGTTTTCCTTTGAAACCCAAAAGAAAGGGGGTACCCTCAAAAAACGACTCCTCCCCAGAAAAGGACTGGCGCTGGCCCCGGCCTCGGGAATGCAGGCTCGCGAGGTATTGAGCCACGTCGGCCTGCGAGAACGCGCCACGCGGAGACGTGCACCGGAGCCACCCCCCCGGCTCTAAATGCTGCTGTTGGTCGTGTACGTTCTGGAAAAAACCCGGGCTGTGCAGGCAAATACCCTTGCTTGTTGTCTGGGGTTCACATCATACCCTATTTGGAGTAGGGGGCGCAACTCAAGTGAAGACTCTTGGCGACTAACCACTCCTTGGGATGTCTAGAAGCATTCTGAACAACATTTGACGGCATTTTGCTGAGATCCCTTCCTGTAAAGGGTACTTGTCTGTCTTGCTGCTATAGCGAGGGGGTCGTTTCCTGTCTTGAGAAGAAATGATCCAGGTGCAAACAGAAACTGAAAACTAGAGGGCTACGGCAACACGATTACAAAACCTGCCACAGCATTTACTGAAACTGCGGAGAATATTACTACATCGCACAAAGTAGAACAATAAACATCAATAAACCACTTGTTGTGCTGGAGGCTCATTTGAGGCGTCTTTGATGACACAAGGATTGTGGTCAGCACACATCAGTGTCCGACATCCACTCTCGCGAGGAACAAGACAAGTTTGCTGGGACCCGTTATTGACAAGTGGTTCTCTCCTGTCAGCGTCAATCAAGAGATGACCGGAGCTTTAGCAGAAGAAGACAGACCCAAATACTGCGAAAGGTTGGTGCTCTCCAGAACTCCAGCTGAGATCAAGGGAACGCCCCAAAGGAATGGATCTCCAAAGTTTCAAAGGTGTCTTGTCCGGGGGTACCCCTCCTTGGGGCGGTTTTAAAAGCAAACCAAAAGTAAAGTCCCCTAAACCACGACACACCCAAGAAGGCCCAACACTCATTTCAAACAGCAAAGAGTCCCGCCAACGCAAGGCCACGAACTGTTTAGACTAACAAACCCGGGCAGATTTACCATCGCCGAATCACAAGGCTGTGGGTCAAAACCAATGGGATCCCATTTTGGGGTAGGTGCACCATCCATTTTAGAACCTATTTTAGTGTGGATTGGGATGTTCACTGGGGGTACGATTTGGATTTGGACCTATGGCCACAAGTTTGCATTGAGATTTATGTTGGGAGTCCTGCCTGCGCAAGCCAAACAGAAGCAAAGGCCAAGAGCATCTTCGGCTCATTCCACATGACACGGTCAAATGCTAGGGCTGCACCTCACAAAAAGTTGCTCACCAGGCTTCGTACAGAGTTCACTAGTGAAGGCGTTGCAATAAGAACCACACACCTAAGTTTGCGAGGAAGTTCAAAACTTCAACCATTCGATTGCACTTCAAATATTGCTGCGCTTGTGTCTGTGTGTGCATGAATGCTTCTCTTGCTCTCTCTCTCTCTCTCTCGCAGTGTATCTGCTTCTTTTCGTGGATGGGGCACCACTACCGCATGACCGAAAAGCAAAACACCTCTAGCTGCAAGATGCATGCCCGGTATCGTTTGAGCCTCATGGCGGCGCATTCAAAGAACAGATCGAAACGCGGCTGGCCCCAGCGGTGAATTCGAGGAATCCTGGTGAATCCTGGTGAATCCTGGTGAATCCTGGTGAATCCTGGTGAATCCTGGTGAATCCTGGTGAATCCTGGTGAATCCTGGTGAATCCTGGTGAATCCTGGTGAATCCTGGTGAATCCTGGTGAATCCTGGTGAATCCTGGTGAATTCGAGGCTTCCCAATTCCACATGGGATTTCCTTGCCGGGTCTCAAGGAATCAGTTCAGGGTTTTGGGAACGAACCGGACCCCTGTCAGATTTGTGAGAGTGGGCGTTGCAACCCGCCCCTGACAGCCAGCAGGAACGTTGAAACCCGTCGACTGTATGTGACCACAGGCCCAGCTTGAACCCAACCCTGAGTCCAAAGAAAGCCTTTCGCATTTCGGGTGTCAACAGGGTTCCACCCCCAACCGAATTTGACCTGAGCAAGCCAACTTGTAAGGAAAAATCCTGCAACATCTAGGGCAACAAAAACAAACAGGTGGATTTTCACCAGGCAAGCCCTGCTAGTAGGGAACCCTTCGCCATTCCCAGCGAGCAAGGGAACTTGAAGAAACGGAGGCAAACCATTCGCCCCCACACCCATCTCTGCTCGTTGCCGTTGCTGTCCTGCGGCAAAGAGACATGAACCAACGAGCTAAAAAACAAAAGGTCCCTGCCCAAAACGATTTTCTCCTGTGCACATGCACTGTACCTGAAAGAGACATATACGAAAGCAGGCCTGCAATGTCGGTCTGAGCGTCGGAGGCGTTGAAGCTGCTGGGGCCCCGGGCTTGTCGGGCTTCCAAGCGTTGAACCGCGCCCGGATCACGTCGCTGATGCGCGCGTTGCCACGGAGTTGGTTCACCTGCCCAAGCTCGGTCGGTGGCAAGCGCGAGTTCATTTGGGTTGGCAAAAGGGAAAGCCGAAAGACATGTTGACTGTCCCTAAATTTTGACACATACCCCCTGATCACTCTCTTTCCAACAATGGAAGTGGGAACAATAGGCTGGAAGACCAACATCATAAGAATGGCCTGCTGTCCACTTCCAGTATTGGGAAAGAAAGTAAATCCAGAGCTCATGGATCTTTCCCAGCAAGACATTGGACCCGGAAAAAGCAAATCATTAAGATGGCCAAGAACCAAGGACCCCATAGTAGAGCACCAGGAGTATCATGTTTGACGCCAGACCTCAGCCGCCCCAAACAGGCTGGCCAACCTGTCGCAGTTTGCGGCTGGAGAATTGAACCAGGATCCCAACACCCAGGCGCCAAAACCTGATAAAGCTGGCTACCCAAACCAATGCAAATAATTTCAAGGGCGGCCGCTGTCCGCTATCCTTCAACCCGGGGTTTGCTTGGGTCGCAAAATGGGGGACACAAAATATCGTGCACTTAGCAAGGCCATGCCGTTGCTGGCACGGGCAGAATCAAAAGCATGCAAGCAACGCACGCTTGAAGGTCCGAGCATCATGATAGTCCAGGCGACACATGACGAAGCCAGCATAGTTGCTAGGAACATCTTTCAGTGGTGCGGCAGAGCAATGATAGCATTATGGCATCGTGTTGGAGGCAGTGAGGGTACAGCGCAGAACTACAAACAACACCTATGAGCATCTCATGCTCATCATACAGTACCACGAAGAAAGCGGGACTACGCCAATGCAGGGAGCAAAATGCAGGCAGCGTCCTGAATGAAGAAACCCAAGTTCTGGAGGGTGAACCAACATCCGAGACTGCAGCTGGGAAACCAATGCAAGGAAACCTCTTCGAAACAGGCGGTGGAATTGAAAATAAACGAAGAATCAAGGACCCTTACCAGCTACAGCCAACATTGTCACGGGAAATCGTGGCTTCACGCGAGAATCCCAATGCGGTGCCAGTGTGGTTCGTCCTGGTTTCAGGCGAAACCAAAAGGAAACCACCCATTTTGGGGGTTCCCTTTTTGTAGACGCTCGGTTTTTTTTAGACAAGCCCAAATGGTCGGTCACGCTCCCCTGGTCAAACTAATATGTGCCCCTGCTTTGAGTTCTCTTGCCTTCAGCAAGCGGTTTCCCGGCCTGGGACGAATAGATAGGATTGGAGCTTGCGATAGACATGCCGGTGCCTGAGCCGGGTGCTTTTGGAGGGTGAAACCAAAGGGAACCCACTTATTTCAGGGGTGCCCCTGTTTTGACACATGCCCAAAATCGTCGTGCAGGTTCTTTTGGTGTGCCCAATGCGCACACCACGGCGGCACAATTGAGGCCCCTGACGGCTGATCTGCGAGTGTGTGCTGCCAGCCTGGCTGCCAGCCTGGCTGCCTGAAGCTGTGGCAAAGTGAGCGAAAACCAGCACCACCACCACCACCACCACCACCACCACCACCACCACCACCACCACCACCACCACCACCACCGTTACCAGCACCACCGTCATCACCACCACCACCACCACCACCACCACCACCACCACCACCACCACCACCACCACCACCACCACCACCACCACCACCGTTACCAGCACCACCGTCATCACCACCACCACCACCACCACCACCACCACCACCAGCACCACCGTCATCACCACAAGCAACATCCACCATCATCAGCACCACAATCATCCCCACAAGCAACATCCTCACCATCATCACCACCAAAATCATCACCACCACAATCATCACCCCCTCAGGCAAACATCACTTCCGCCTGAATGCAATTCAAGCCATCGTCTGCAGAAACAAGCCATGCCGCCTGCCCTAAACCCAAAGCTCAACATAGCTCATACTATGGATTGCTAAAATCCCGCACCGATTGGGATGATCGGATAGATGGAACCCCATAAATGAGACAGATCTCCTACCAGCGGTCGGAAATGGATTTTGTCCATCCGCCTTCCTGATGCAGGGCTGTAGGAGTTGCATTTCCACGTCTGTATGCGAAGCCTGAATGACGAATTATCCAAGGGGGTGATCCCACAACCCTTCGAACTAGAAACGGGCTCCCGCGCCGGTGCGTGGCGGCAGAGTGGCAGACAAGTGCCTGCGATCCAGAAGCTCGGGAAGAAGTGACCCCCCAAAAATGGGGCTCCGGTCTTGTTGTTTTCCCCGACCCAACCAAAAGTGGGGGGGAGCACGGGAGTACCCAACAAAAACACCACCGCATCTCACCCCACTTTTTCCAGGAAGCTGAGCAATTCCTTGGGACAAGAGTCCGCATTTGTTTCTCGATCCTTAGCGGGGGGTTGGAATCTCCCGGCAGTCTCGTGCGTTTCCCAGAAAATTCATCAAACAAAAATCACCGGGAAAGAGTCCCAGCGGGGCGGATGGGTGCGTGCTTTCTTGAGGGCGCTCTTCTCGACCAAACTGAACACCAAAACAACACCACTTTCTTTCTTCTTCTTTTTTTTTGGGGGGGGGGTGTCAAATTCCTTTTTGGACACATATCACATACCCAGATGTCGTCTTCGCATCGAGTCACTGCCCTTGCCTCGAGCCGCTTCCAGCATCGTCTCCTGCAGCGACACTACAGCCAACACTATTTATAGGGCATCCAAAGAGAAAAGTTGCGCCGCACGGTCTAGTGGCAGTACCTCGTCGGTCCGCTCCACTACGCTTGTCATGTGGTCAACTGCAAACAGTCCAACCCCACATCGGCCAAATCTCGGAAGTCCCATATTCCGCTGCATTTCTGGCCAAAGCCCCAAAACCACCCCAAACCCACCCAAAAAGCGCCCCCAGAACCAACCCCCCTCCAAAAAACAAGAACAACAACCCCACTCCAACCCCAGCCCAAACCCACCCCAAACTCACCCCAAGCCCACCCCAAGCCCACCCCAAAGCACTCTCAGCCCCCCGGCCGCTATTCGGAGGCGCTGAGCTGGAGCGCAGGGCCTGACGCTGGGAGGGGGAGGGGCCACCGACCGCCGCCGACCGGGTGGATGGACCCCAAAAAAACGTCACCTCTGTTGCTGGTTTGGGTCATCCCAGGTCGTTGACGCTCACCAGGAGGGAAAGGGGATCCCCGTGGCCTTGGCCGCGGCCAAAAACGTTGCCATTGGTTCCAAGGAACCCTGCGAGGTGAAAAACCCCACTTTGAAGGGTGACCCGCAAAAGCATAAGGTCAGGAAGTGAACTGAACATGGACGGAACGTTGGGGGATCCTGTGAGGAGTGAGCAACCCTCTTTTTACAGGAATCTTCATTGGGGTCCATTCTGTGAACATCATTTACATTGTTAAATAAGGGGGTTCCCTATTGCAGCGAAGACAAATGTCAGCATGTGAATTGCTGCGGGCCAGTCGTTCACACCCTGCATGCTGCAAAGCAGCAAGAATGAACAGAGAGTCGCACGAAGAAGGCAAGTGTTCCAGGCACTACAATAATTATGCAACATAGATGTACACGCTGAAGGCAGCTTTGCGCCGTCAGTTGGAAGCAAGCACAAAAGCAAGAGCGCTGCAAAAGCTTTCCGCAGTGGACAAACAGAAAAGCAACCGGATGAGGCGCAGGGCTCGAACCGCTCGCTTCCAAAGTGGCACCCAAGCGTCCGAACTGTTTGCTTACCACTTAATTGGCCCAGGCCCCCAGAAAGCGACAGCAGGAAGTCAGGGACTTCCTTCCACACACTGTTCAGTCGTTTCTTTTAAAAGACCGGCCGTCTTTCCTGGGTTTTGCGGCGCTTTCCGGACTTGACACCAAGAGGCTGGCCTCTGTTTGATGGATTTGTCCCATGGGAAACCTCTCAACCGGGCCGGGCCTGACTGTGATATCGCTCCTCAAGCTCCTTCATGTGGGCGTCCAATTTCTCCTCGAGTTGAGCGGTCAACCTTCATCGTGTTTCCAAGATGGCAACGTGAGTCACCCGCCTAACGGTGCTCTGCCGTTCTATAGGATCTGCTCATGTTGGTGACCTACCAACTGGTTGGAGTTTGTCCATACACAGCAATGTGAACTTCGGAAAGTTCTGAGGACCTAAGAACCCCCAAAGCAGATAATTCCTTGCAAAGACAAGTTTATTGCATGTCCTTCCTCCCTCCCTCCCTTCCTTCCTTCCTTTATTCCTTCCTTCCTTCCTTCCTTCCTTCCTTTCTTCCTTCCTTCCTTCCCTTACTAAAAGAAGAACCACCCCATTCCGGATTCATCCCAAGTCACGTAACACGGACCCTTCGCTCCTCGAACCCGGAACTTCAATCAAACGCTCGCTGTCCTGCACAGGGCCCCCAAACTCCACGCCGCCCTCGTGCTTCACCTGGCGTTTGAGGGAGCTGGGTTGGTTCAAATGGCTGTGGATGTCAAAGATACCCAAAATGGAAACCCCGTAAATGGAACATGGGATGAAAACCTTCCCTGGCAGGGTTAATTTTGACCCATACCGATACCCAAATGCCAACCAAAAGCGCAATTCACAACTTTGGGGGTCCAACACATGAGCGGCCAATAAAATGAGGATACCACAAACGGCCACAAATTTCGACACCCCCACATGCATAAATCCACAAGCTAAGCTACCCTTCCTCCGTTGGAACACGACTCAATGTCCATGTCTGCAAAAAGAGCGCAAGTGACTAAGACATAGGAGGAATGTTCGACGCAAAGTGATAATTTTCCTGTGGCCCCATATGCTAGCTTTTTGGGGGATGGAATCCGAGAAACCATAAAGGGAGTTCTTGTTTTGGTGGGTATTTGGAAATCCTGTAGAATTCCCTGTGCTGGTTGCTGGTTGCTGCAAGGGTCACACAGGGCCCCCCCAAACCAAAACTTGGCGTCCCCAGTTAGATATAAGTCTCTTATTATTCCCTTCGGCCCATATAAGGGTCTTAAATCTTGAGATCCAACTAGGCATTCTTGGCATCTAATTCCAACAAAAAAAAACAGGGGCATCTACTCCCCTCACACAACCTCATAGGGCACATCCAGTTCTTGGCTTTACAAGTGGCTCCCCTACACGGCCTCCCCTTAAACGACCCTCCCCTCGCAAACGCCGGAAGGCACCGACTTGATGGGCCGCATCATGGAGTCCAGCAGGGAGCCCTGGTGCACCTGCCATAATGTGGATGGTTGCGAAATCCATTTCGCATCACTTTGAAACCATGGCATGGGACACCATTTTTCGTTGGAATTTTACAGGGGAATCATCTTTTTAGGTGCAGGATGTTGTCCACCCACAGCAGGGAAAAGGGGGGGAGCCCATTTTAGGGCTGGCCCCCCTGCTTCCAAGATCGGCTGATGTTGCCTCTCGTCTTTCATTTTTTTTCCATGTGGAATGGATGGGGTCCCCAAGTTGGAATGACCCCGAACTGAGCCATCCCACCAAAGCCCTGAAATCGACTCTCTGAGAACCAGCAAGCATCGGCACCGGCAAAAACCTGGCCATTTCGAGGGGCGAAGCCCCTTTTGCGCCCAAGAAGAACCCTCCAAAATGTTGCTACCATTGTCACCTTTTGTCAAAAATGGAAGGGCCCAACAGAATCGCGGCTTTCCCTTTGATGTCCCTTGAAAATTGGACCCTCCAAAAACGCACACGCCCAGGTTCTGCCGTGGCCCTTGAGGCGCGGTCCGAAACCAATCCATGATCCATCCCCATGGGCTCAAACCAGAGGATACCAAGAGGCCAAAGAGGAAACCAAAAGGTAGGGTGACACTACGACGCACCAAAAGGGCGCTTACGTTGAAAAGAGAGAAACTGGTTGAAACAAGAGGGGCGAAAGTGGTTGAAACAAGAGGGGGCGATCGACACAGGGGGCAATATAAGGGGCAATCAGGTGTCTGGATTTCATTAACATATTGCATCGGCATCAACCTGATAAGGTGAAAATGGGAGAGGCGCTTGACTCTCTCACACATGGGTACTTGTCAAAATAGGTTCAGGAACTCGAACATGGGGCCCACTCCAGCTTAGTGTCTCTTCCCCAAAACCACACACCCATCGAGTGTCCAATTCACGTTTCAGCCCCTCTCACCCGCAAGAAACACTATATACCGGAGACTTTGACCGAAGGGGAGCCGCATTCAGGGCCAGAATCCTTCATTGTTTCCCTTGCCAGTCAGCTTTGGACTCACCTAACTCCGCACCTCTGTTCTTTTTCACGACAAATCAAATCAAAAAAATCCGACAACTTCTGCGGGCTCTATCTTACCAGACGCCACCCACAGACTTCTCACATGGCCTTCTTGTTTGATATGTCTCACCTGTGGCAAACCAAAATGAAGCTGGCAACTTCTCCGGTGGTCAAAATCATTCTGCCCGCCTGATAGTTGCGCGTGAACTCACCGATGTCCACAGCACCGCGGTCATCCTTGTCCAGCAAGCTGAACAATGCGTGCAGGTCTGGACCTGAACAATGCGACATGAGGGATTGCTGTATTTTTCCCCGGTATGGGTTTGTCTCTCAACATGGGGGAACCCCCAAAATGGGGGGTGTCCTTATGGTTTTTGTTGGAACACCCCAAAAAAGGGTACCCTCAAAAAAGACACACCTGTATAGTAGATCAGCAAGGGACCCTACCACAAGGAAAACGGAGGGTTGCTTAGTATCTGGGAGCTACAGGTCAAGACTCCGAATCTGGGTATGGTCATGGATCCCCCACAATGGTTTTCTGAATTCCTGAGGTCCATCCCTAACCCCAAGCGAGTGAAGCAAGCGAAGTCGATATTCAGAGGTGTCGCCCGAAGCATGGGAACTTGATGAAGAAGCCCTGTTTCCTCATGGAAATCGGGCGTACCCCATCCACTCACTCCAGTAGGGTATGTCTTTATCAGACAACAAAAATGGATTTCGGTTGTCCCTTTGGTACCCCTTATAAGCAACCCAAAAAAGGGTACCCGCAAAAAGCAGCATAATATGATAATAGTTATTGACCGCTCGCATGGAGACCCTACCGGGGGGTGAACACGTGAAAGCGATGCTTGCCCCAATGTTTCTTGTTGAAAATCAACAATAAAAGTAAAAGCAAAAACCGAACTGTTTGCCAGAGCTCTGGATACCTTGCAGTCTGAACCTATCACATTTGAATAATCTTCCTTGAAGTGCTCTTGCGCAAAATCGCGCTTCTCCCCTTGCTTTTTTGAGCGTGCTTTGCATTTCTACTAGGTAGCAGCAAAGAAGAACCGCCAATTCGATGAGGTCTTCGGTCTTTGGCGGTTTGAGGCGGAAGAGTAACTTGGTCCCCGCGCTGCTGTTGGCGATCCTGGGTCAAAGGGCTCGGCCAATTGATCCATCTGTTCTGGGCCAAATTGTAGATAGGTGTGTCTTAACATGGGGGAAATCCCCAACATCGTGGGTGTCCTTTTGGCTTCCCTTTGACACAACCCAAAAGAGACCCTTAAACAAACGCTGTGGAGTTTCATGTCCGGTGACACTTCTGAGGTTCCCTATGCAAATTCACAGCCAAAAGAATGTCTCAACCAAACAAGGGAACCCTGCAGGACCTTGTGTGCTCCTTTTACACGTCACACTTGCGGCGCCGGAACGCCGCAAAAGGACCATGGGTCGCTGGCACCGGATGAATGAGGGTTGGGGTGGCCTGTGGGCTGTCAGAGAGGGGTTTCGCCATCTGGGTCCGGGTTTCGATCTTGTGACGCCGGTGCTGTTTGCCAGCTGACTTTTGCTTCGTGACTGAAAGCCGCCGAAGCCTGACTACAGCTTTGGTCTAGCTTCCGGGGTTTGGATGCACGCCACGGGCAAGACGGGCCCTCTTTTTTGGGGTCGTGCCTGGGACAGTTGGAGGCTGTAGTGCTTAAATACTTAAACCCTGCAAAACACAAGCATGTTGCGAGATAGACTCTATGCGTCCACACATACGCACAACTGCCAACAGCAGGCGTCAAAGTCTTTCGCACTGTAAACTCAGTAGACAAAACAAGCGCGGACGAGCACCGTGCACATGTTGATATCTACTCCAATTTGCAAATGCCCATCTGGACTGAGGAGCGTCTCCAAAGGCACCCCGAAATCGGCGGCTCCCCCCTTTTTGTTCCTTGAAACCCACCAAAAAAAAATGTCTGGCTGCCCCTGTGTTTTTGTGGGCCAGCCCACCTCAACAAAACGTGCGGAACCCTGAAAGAGTCCAAAACCGAGGGCTCCAAGCCACGCCCGACGCGCCGACGCGCCGTTCCGAAAGCCGAGGCTCTTGTACTTCTCGCAGGCGCTGCGCAGGTCCGACATGCTGAGGTACCCGTCGTTGTCGAAGTCCTCTTGGGTCAAAGACGGAGGAAGCGAACCCCAAAACGGGGCTACGGGTGAGTGTTCGGCCAAATTGGGGACATTTAGGGAAAGGGCCGCTGAAAGCATCGATGCTTTTGGGCCAGTTGGAAAGGGTGTAGGCTGGCTCAAGTTCTGAGAGCAATTGAGAAGCAACTGAGCAACTGACAGTATCTTTCGGGTTCGACAGGTGGGAAAGAGTTGGAATGGAGGCAATAAACGGTCAGTTTCATTCCCAGAACTCTTGAATCCCTGAGCACCAGCCCTTTTGGGCCTGGGTTCGGGATGCTCGCATGCTCAGAATGAGGGACGCCTTATGGAATGAAAGAGGAACACAACAATGAGGGTCCAATGGGGGAGGCCCTTTTCAGGGATCCTTACACGACACATCTGAACATTGCCTTGTAAATGGAGGTGTCCCTTTATGTTGGTGGAAGAAGCCATGTTTCAATTGGGGCAAAATGTATCTTCTAAGGAGTCCTGCTTTTTAAGGTGGAATTAAAGAGGAACCACAAACAAAACGAATGTTGGACCCGGATTGCAAGACCAAGACCGTGCCCGACTATTGCGAGGGTTTCCCCCGGTTGGCAAGGGGCAACGGGAAACAACCTTTGGGTTCCGACAAAAGACACACCCACATAGGTCCCAAAATTTCCGGACCCCTCTTTGGTTGATGTCCCCACAACAACGCCTGGGTTTCAGTCTACCTTGGTGTAATCTGAAATGGGTGTGTCTTGTTTTGAAGCTTGACTCATTTGTCATTTTGGGGGCTCCAAAGGAGCCCCGAAGTAGAGGACTCCCCAAAATGGCAATGGTTTCCTTGTGGCTTCCCTTTAAAACCACTCCCAATGGTGTATCCCCAAAAGGCGACACACCCAAATGAGGGTGTGCAAATTTGAAGGAACCCCTTTTGGTGTAATTTTCAAGGGAACCAAAGGAAAACCGCTCCAAATCCCCATACTAAGACAAACCTTTTTTTGGACCGAAGCCTGGCCGCTTTTGCAACGGCTACCCATTTTGGTTTGGTTCCCAGCAAAAGGACGCGAACCGTTGCCATTTCGGCTAACCAGCTCCCGTCTCTTTTGCGACACCCCGAGCTCGCCGACTTCGCTTCCGCGCTTCCGCGCGATGCGCGGAATCGCGGTCCAGGCGTTTGAACATCTTGGAGGGCTTCAGCTTGCCGCCGTTGGAGTTCTCCACCAAGGCGATGGCATCTGCCAAGGCCTCCATGACGTACCTCGGATCGACTCATGCGAGGGACGTGGGCTTCACTTCGACCATGGCTGTTACGGTTTGTAGAGGCTTATGCAGAGAGGTAGAGGTTTGAATAGGGGTTGTAACAAGGCTATATAGAGGTGATCTGGATTTGGATTCCACCAAAACCTGCATGGGTTTGTGTGCGAGCGTGCAGAACATTGACCGATCCACGCAATTCGGTTTTTTGTCTACTCAGGTAGCCTTGGTTGGCTTGGATTGATTTGCTTTGGAACCCCTGAGATGGAAAACTCCTGACCACCCCTTTAGGATTGACTCTTTTGAGAACCCCTCAGACCTTTTCCTTTCAAACCTTTCCCGTCGGCTTCAGACCACGCCTGGCTTGCCAGTAGTTCTCGTACCGCGGCTTCTCGGAATCTGCGGGGCGTTCCCTGGGGGGCGGGTTGCCTCGTAGCGCCCGGTTCAGGCCGTCGTTGACGTAGTGGATCACCTTCTTCTCGTCCTGGGGGTCTTGACATGCGTGGCTTTTGGAGATTCCCAAAATGGATTTCGGCGCTTCCTTTTGGTTTCCCACTAAGGACCAACCCCAGAAAGGGTCACCTCTAAAAATATGTTTCTTTAGGGAACCCTTCTTGGGTGATGGGAAACCAAAAGGAAACAACCCATCAATCGACTCCCCTATCCGACACCATGTGTTTGAGGGGTCTCCTTTTGATTGGCTTTGTTTGTCGTCATGTCAAGCCTCCAAGGACTTGGGCCGGCGAAAAACCGGAGTCACCTGACCTAGGGCCACAGTGTCTTTTGGTCATGCCAAACCCCCTAGTAGACCCGCGAAGAAAGGCAATGCACGGATGTCTAAGTCCAAGCAAGAGGAGGCAACCTGCTTCTTTTGGATGCCCCGCTATGGACCCACCGTTGTGCCTCTACTTGCGCACATGGTTCCGCTTTGCTCGCTTACACGCTGATGGCGGGGCTCCAAGGTGGACGCTGAAAACCGGAGACGCAAATTCCCAAAACCGACGTTTCGCCTTTGGCAAATCGGTCCGGCGGCTGGTAGATGTTGTGAATGAGCTGGTTCACGTCCACCTCGTGGTCTCGATTGTGGCGCTGGGTCACCACAAAGGCCTCGGGGAAAAAACGAGTTGAAATCGATCGCGCAAAAGGACGGATCCCGAAATGAGGCGCCCCCCGCCTTTTGGGGAAACGAATTTGAAAGGGGAACCCTTCAAAGGGAGAACGTCGCACTCCTGGCAGTCGCCCCTTCATGCTGTTCGTCCCATTTGCCCAAGAACCAGGTTGAAATCACCACTTGATTAGCCGGCGGACAACCGCCTTCCAAGGGTTCCATGGTAATTTGCAGAGTACTTTCCAGTGTGAATCACCATGGGCAGGTGCCCCTAAGCCTCTTGACTGTATCCTGCTTCAAGGTGAAAAGGGTACCCGCAACCAGACATCAAGCACTTGCATCCCAGCCAGTCTTTCGTATGCAACTTTATCTCGTTCATCCCCCGTATCCAGCTTCTTCCCTCGTTCGCACAGCTGCACCAGGCATTCCCCCGGCTTGATTTCCTTCCTTCACGGGATGTGTCTCAAACTTCGAGCTCTTCGCTAGGTCTTCCAATCAAACTTCACGGACACTGTCCAAGGCAGCTCAGAATCCATGTCCTTTACGGCATGTTCAGAATAAATTAGACTCCGGACATCTTTTGTTAGACTGACGTCTGCTTAAGTATCCCGAGTTTGGTTGGACATCGTCTGCTTCATTCGGGGCTGTGCCTGTGACTCTCTCAACGTGATGGTTTGTTTGGTAAAAGCCCAAGGTCTCAGAGTCCATGAACCAGTTTTAGGGGTCGAGGATCCGTGTGAGTGATCAGGCCAAAATCATGGGTCCCCCGCGAATGGGTGCTTGTGGTTCTTCTTTGGTTTGCCTTTAAAGGCAACCCCAAAAAGGAATCCTCAAAAGCACGTCTATCCCCCAAATGGTTGGGGGGCACGCTTCACAAGTGTACAAGGGTGTCATAAACAGGTTTTACCTTTGGTTGCCGTTTTTTGCTCATGGCGTCTTTGAGGTTCGTACTCCTCTGTTTATGAATCCCGTTCCCGGACCTCTGGTGGGATGCGAGGGCTGTGGGTCTAGGACCCCCCTCCTTCCTCAATCCACCCGCACCTTATGGCTCCATGGCTCCACATCAATGGATTCCCTTATGAGATTGGGTCCCCCCAAAATGCAACGATTTCCTGTTGGCTTCCAGTCAAACCACCCTGAAAGGGTTCCCTCAGCCGACTTGGAAGCGGGAGTGCAGGTTGGATTTGTCTCAAAGGAATCGGACCCTGGTCTTTGCTCTGTTGTTCCCCGAGAAAAAATGTCCCACAACGGTTACCATGGTTACCATTAAGAAAGACACAACCCCATATTTGAACTGGAAACCAAAAGGAAAACCACATTCCATTCTGGTGTCCAAATCCCAGTACGTTGACATACCCAAACTAGTTCGGGAATCCCAAAAAACGTGGGTGTCCGTTCTTTGAAACCAACCCAAACAAAGGCCACCCCTCAAAAAAATGATTTGACCCACCCACCCCACACCCACCGCAACCCTCGCCCCCCAAAACCCCAGCCCTCGCCCGGACCCCACAACCACGTCCCGGGCCTCGATGTCGCCCCGCAGCAGCTTCAGCGACGCGGGGCCCCCCGCCAAGCCCCGGGGCTCCAAGGCCGCGCTGGCCGCCGCGTCTGGCGGGGGAAAAAAATCCGGGCGCCAAGGGCGAGATCGCTAGGTCCTCCAGATGTGAGAGGCGAGAATAAGCCGGTACCACTTTTTTTTCTGTTTTTTTCGGTTCTGTCTATTTTAGTAGGGGAACCCTCCCCGCCCCAAAAAAGGGGGTAAAAGGGCACTACTGGGGGACTTAGAAGAGAAGACCATGGTCCACGCATGGTCTGTGTGTGTGTAAACCAAAAACCTGGCTGGTGAGTGGGAAAGTTCCTTTGCTCGTTGGTAAGCGGGTAAATGGTCATCCCCTGGTCGTTTGCTCGTCCCTTAAAACCAGCCAGTATATTCTCGGATTCTCTCAGATTGTCGAGTTCTCGAACTCTCCCATTCTCGAATTCTCGGATTCTCGGACTTACCATTTCAGAGGCTTTCACCTCAGTGTGTGTGTGTGTGTGTGTGCTTCTATTTGGCAGGTCTGGAGGCAGCCCAAGCTGGCCCGCTTGAGCTGGTGGTCCAAATGCCCCGTCGCCTGGCAGTGGCTGGTCCAAGGTCATGACGTCAGCACCGCTCAGGGATTTGTGAGAGGAGTAGATCGGCTCCTTGAGGCGATGAAACAAAAGAGTCTCAAGCAAAGCCTGAAGTGGTCAACCCAAAACTGGGAACCAGTGCCCCCAGAAATGGTCGAAATCACAGCGAATCTCCGTGGCTGTCTCCAAGAAATCATGGCTGGGCCCCGAGAAGTTTGCAGGTTTGGGTTGTGAATTCTATTTGGGGAAATGGTGGACAGCTTTCAGGGGACTTTCGGATTCATCTTCACTTTTGAGAGGGCTTCTCAATTAAGATTCATGGCCAATCCATTGGAACTCCTGGATTCAAATCAGGTTGAGGGAGGGTGGTATTGGTTGTTCAAAGCGAGGATCCCTAATTCTGACCCCTCATCCAGACACCACTACAAGGCCAACCACAAGGAGAAAAACGATTTTGTGTCCTGGCCGTCTCCATAGGTTCCAGGAGAGCCAGCAACCATTTTGACAAGACCAAGCTTAAATACCTGTGCGTTTTCCCCTTCCCCCAGTAAAAGACACACCCAGCCCCATGACACACAGCGCCGGACCGCCCAAGGACTTCTCTTGTTTATTTCTGCCGCAAAACCCAAGTCCTTCCGCGGCAAGGAGGACTGTGTGTGGGGCGCCTCGAGCTCATTGACGAGCATGTCGATGAGCTCGTCCTGCAGAGATGGGTTCACTACGAACGTCTGTCTGTGGCTGCTAAGGGTACCCTCTCTGGCCCCGTTCTTTTCTGATCAAAGTCACCCCCCAAGCGCTACCTTTGAGGGAGCCAACATATTTTCTGACTGTAATCCTTGAAAAAAATCAGACAACAGATCGGACGGCAGCCTCCTTGACTCCTTGAGGTTGGTTTAAAGCCGGAAAAACTACCAAGTGGTGTCCGGTGGCTCGTGTCCAAAGGAACACCTGTCTCTCTATTGTGAGAGCTAATGGGAACCCATCTGAGTAGATCCCCTGGTTGACTTTGATGGGGGGGTGTCCCCTTTCAGTGATTCATCTGAAGGGGAACGCCATCCCATTAAGACGAGCTTTTTACGTGAACAACAGTACCCGTTTTCTGGTGCTGGGGGAACCTGGAGATCCACCAATTGTGACCCGCTGTATATTTTGACACATACTACTTAGTCACTATTTCTCTCATTTCGGCCAAAAAAACTGGCTTCCCTGGGCCTGCAAAAAAGGCTGCATCTCATCATGTCATCCCTGGCAGCCAGTGGCGAACACCGAACCTCTCCGGCCGGCCTGATGCACGGTGTCCCGATCTTTCAGCAGCTGCTTCAGCCGGGATCTGGCGATCAGTTCAGGCCTCAAGCCGCAGAGCGTGGGAATCAACATCGTTTAGGGTGCCCTCTTTTCGGGGTTGTTTTAAAGGGGACCACAAGAACCGGCTGCCCTGCTTTGACAGAAACCCCTCTGTGAGTCTTGTTTGGCAGATATCAGACTCCAGCCTTCCAACACACTGCACATTACTCAGTTGTGCTTTTGTTTCATACGCAAAACACATAAGTCGCCCGGCCACGGCTTCGAAGCCATCTTACTGCCGCCACCCCATGAGGGCAAGTTCTATTTGGCGGGGAATGTGTTACGTTCTCGGGGGAATGTTCCTTGTTTCTTGGGTGGCTCGAAAAGGAACTTACGGTTAGGTGAAAGTAGATGGTGAATTCAAATCCAGCTCATTTTTGAATAAAGTCAGTCACTCCACTCCCCCATCAACACTGCAGGCAGCGTTCTGCGAGTCGCTCACTTTTCGTGGATTGCGCCAGTGCCTGTCAGGGCCCAATGGCCCACACATCCAGTCCGGAGGGTAGATTCTCATCCCCCCGGACGCACTTCTCTCCCCCACACATCCAGTCCGGAGGGTAGATTCTCATCCCCCCGGACGCACTTCTCTCCCCTGCTTGCGGGGTGGTGGTGGAGCCAAATCGACTCGGGCCTGAACGTTACATGACGTTGCATGTTTGGACGGTGCCCTTTCCTACACATTCCACGTCACTCCACTCCCCCATCAACACTGCAGGCAACGTTCTGCGAGTCGCTCACTTTTCGTGGATTGCGCCAGTGCCTGTCAGGGCCCAATGGCCCACACATCCAGTCCGGAGGGTAGATTCTCATCCCCCCGGACGCACTTCTCTCCCTACCCGAAGGGGGAGTGCGGATGGGGGGTCCACCCGCACATGACCCGAACGGGATTCGAACGCCCACCTAGAAAGGGGGGCCCACTTTTTTTTTTTTTTTGCTTCCCGCGCCTGCGTCACCAGGGGTCTCGCCACCTGGTCTCCCCTTTCCTCCTCTTCTTCACCTGGTCCTCCGCCTTCTTCTCGGACCAGGCAATCGTCTTGCGCTCCTTGGAGCTCTTCACCAGGCGGATCTCGCTGTCCATCTTCTGGGCTTCCCCCATGAGCTGATCGAGGACCTCGAACTTGAAGTCCTCGAACCGAACATTGATGCGCTTGCCCGGATCGAACCCTTCAAAGGCCGAATTCGTCAGAGCATCCGCTTCGATGTTCTGCTCACGGGGAATCCAGCGCAGCATCATGTCAACCTCCAGCTTTTCCAATTGCACGGACAGCTCCATCAAGATGACCGACAACGGGAAAGAGCAGCTCATGTACTTGTCCAGGACGTACATCGACACCGCGCTGTCTGTGAAGCCAGATAGCACTCCGTGCACGCCGGCCTCTTTCAGCCCACCGTCCCTGCCGAAGATCATGGTGGCCAAGAGCACCGCCGTGAGCTCAAGAGAGGCGATGGCCCTGAACGGCTTGCCCTTGGCGTAGGCCCATGGTGCGTTCTCGCGGTTGAGGCGGACCGAGAACCATCTGGCCGTCGAAGTGGGCCCCTTCCACGACTCCCAGCCGCCCAGCACGATCTCCTGCCCCTCGGCCTTGGCATCGATACGGAAGAAGTCGACTCGTGCCACCGGGACATGAGAGACCGGCCCCAACCTTCGCCTTTGAACTTCCATCTTGATCAGCTGCAGGACCAAGGCCACTGCCGATGGCAGAGAGGCAAAGGTCCCCATAGCCAACACCGCTGCCCAAGCGAAGAGGACGCCCAAGAACGGGCGTACGTGCGACAAGGCCCCTGCCAAAGGTCAAGCGCCCCAAGGCGGACTTCAGGTCCCTTCCAACCACACCTCCTTCCGATTGGCGCTTCTCCACCCAGGCAACTATCCACTCCTGCTTCTTGAGGCTGATGCCCTTCACAAAGTTCTTGACGTCGAGCTTGTAGCCGATCCACTGGACCACCACGCCTCCTTTAACCTTCTTCCACGTCAGTGGCAACTCCATCAACTCAAGGCACCAGATCCAGAAGAGCAGCCTCCGGACGAAGTCGTTGCCTGACGCGTTCAGCCACCCGTCGTCCGCATAGAGGAGGTGATAGAGGCTAAGCTCCATGGTCGCCAGCCGGTGTGACAGCCTCACCACAGAGGCGGCCAGCCTCTGTCACCAGTAGGCCGCAGACGCAATGCCGAAGGTGCCCCTGGTGTGCACATAGATGTCGCTGGAGCCATCGAGCCGAAAAGCTTGCAGTCCCCAGTCCCGCTTGACAATGGGAACCAACCTGTGTGCGTGCGCCACGTCACAGGTCAGGGAGAAGCGAACGTCCCGGCCCCCGGAGGTGTCTTCTTTGACGCCTCTCAGGACCGCATCAGCGTCGTCCAGCAGTGGGAAGCGAACTCGGTCACGCACCCGTATGCGCCGTTTGATGTCGACCGAGTAGCTGCCGTCGTGCACCAGCCTGACTTTCTCAGACCCGAGTTCTTTTGGTACAGCCCCTAGGGCCGCCACTGCCAGCCTCCCGCTGAACTCCTTCTCCGCCTCCGACTGCGATCCCTTTCTCCATTTCCGCCTCCACCTGATGCCTGATCTGCTCCATGGAGAGCTTGGCCGACTCGTAGTTCTCCGCTCCTCCAGCTCAGCGTCCACCGCCTCCAGAGACCATTTGGTCTTCTCCTCGAAGACCGCCGGCACCCTGGGGAGCTCCGTGTCCACGCCGATCTCGACGCCACCAGCCGCCATCTCCAGGAGGTAGTCCCGGTCCACGTCGTCGATGCAGACCAAGGCCGCGTGCAACCTTCCGAAGTTCACCTCGCAAACCCGGTCGCTTTCCTTCCTGCCAGGATCGCATCCCTTCGCCTCCAGGAAGCCGTCAAGCTTCTTCCTGGCCAGAGGGAGAGATCTGGAGAAGGGGGACTCCAAGTATCTCCCTGCGGCCAACTTCCAGAAGCACCCAACGTGACCTTTGGGATCATTTCGTTCCATGTCCTTCAACGCTTCGTAGAATTGGCCCGCAGCTGGCTTCCCGATGGCGGCAGGTCCTCCAGGCGGTCTTTCCTCCGCCAACGACCCGACGAGTTGAGCGTCAACCGGCCTGCTCTTGCCCTTGTAGTAGGCCATCATGGGTGGGCCTTTGCCCGCCGGGAGCACTCGCGATTTAGGAGGTGCTGCCACTCTGCCCGGAATCGCCTCCCCCACGTCCTTCTTCTCCTTCACCTCGTTGCCGACGCCCTCCTTGGCCATGCCCTCGTTATTCTCCTTGGCCGCGCCCTCGTTCCGAACCATGCCCTCGTTGGCCTCCATGGCCTTGCCCTCGTTCCGAACCATGCCCTCGCTGGCCTCCATGGCCGTGCCCTCGTTCTGAATCATGCCCGCCTGCAGCACATTGCCCAACCGACAGGAAGCTGTGGGCGGGCAGAACTTCTGCAAGCACGGCGGCGGCTATGCCTTGATCCATTTTCTCAGGGTAGCCGTGCCGGTGGTCTTGAAGGCTGTGTCTAGGGGCTTCTTCACCAGCTGCACGTGGGATTTGCAACCGCAGTGTTGCAAAAGTGGGCCCTCGTAGAAGCCTTGCACGTCCATACTGGCCCAGTCCTTGGGCCCCCAGTGCTGGATATCTGGAAGATTGGTGAGCAACCTGGTTGGCTTGCGATATGGCGCACCGAAGCTGCATTGGTTGAAGACCACGGTGAAGAAAGGAGGGTTGCCGCGACCTGCCAGGGAGCGCAGCTCGCTCAACTGCCATATGCTAGCGGGTTGGTAGTGCAAGGCGTCCTCGGAGCGCACCACCATGCCCAGGTCTTCTGGGTGCTCAACCAGCGCCAGCATGGGGCTGGAGCAATCCACAATGGTCTGTAGCATCTGGCAGGTGAAGCGCACGAGCTCGTTGCCGATCTGCACCTCCTGAGATCTGCGGCCCGAAAGCCACGGAAAGCCCCAAAAATGTTGTGCGTCTCGCACAGGAGGAGGCCCGTTCTTGTTTGCACCCCGCACCCGCGAGAAGGTGCTGCACGGCGGGGTGCAGATGGCAACATGCCACTTGCGGGATCTGATCCCTTCTAGGAGGCTCTTTTGCAAACTGGCGTTGGTGAGGTCATGAGACTCACAGCGTTCGATGTCGACCTCCTCGGCGTGGAAGCTGATGCCCTTGCGGGCGCACATGCTCTTGAGCTGCTCCACCACTGAGGATTTTCTGGCTGCCCCTGCAAACAAGTACAGCAACTTCAACTGTGGCCCTTGAGCCAACTTTGTGCCCTGTGCTGCTGCAACCTCCCGGGGCACGACGAGAGGCTGCCCTTCATGCTGACTTGTCCTGCGCCGGACCTTCTCCGGCTGTATCCTTGGCTTTCTTGCAGGCGTGAGCCGGATGGCTCCCGAAGCAAATCTGGCAGGCGTGAACTCGCCCACAATCAAAGCGGCACCTGGAGCCTTGAATGTTCCACTTGAAACAGATCTCGCGGCCGTCCGGGGTCTTGTCGTGGAGGCCCCGCTTGCTTTTGCTCTTGCCTTTGGACTTGTTCTTTCCGCCTTTGGCCGGAGTCGACTCCTTCCAGGTCCTTGGCGGATGCTCGCGGCCTCGAGACGGTGACCTGGTCTTGACGTGACCCGGCACATGCAGGGCCTCATAGGCGCAAGGCGTCAAGAAGTAACGCTCCTTGATGGCGGTGTCCACCATGGCCGCCTCCAGAGCCTGAACCCGAGGGGGTCCGCTGTTGAGCTTCTTGACCATTTCTTTCCGGATGTTGAACTCGTAGCTCAGCAGCAAGCGGAAGGTCGGTTGCGCCACCACTATGCCCTCCGAGTCCTTTGCCTTGAGATTGTAGACGTGCTCGCCAAGCAGCAGGTCTGCATAGCGTTGAACATGCACAGGGGTTGCACCTTGCCAGCACCTTCTGATGAGGATAGCGAATCTGGCACAAGATGAATGTGTGCGCGACCAGACGTAGCCGGGACCGCAGCTCCTCCGAGTTCTTGGGCTTTGCGATCTTCAGAGCGCCTCTCTTGATCTTGATGGCCCCTGTCGCCCTGTCGATGGTGGCGCCCATGAGCTCCTGCTCCGCGTCGTCCTTGCACAAGTACTGGGAGAGGGAGAGGACCTTGTACTCGCCCGATTCAATCTGGTCGAACTGAAGCTCCAAGGTGCTGACCGAGGGCATCTGACGATCGTCGATAGCGTACAGGCTTTGCTCAAACTTGGCCCGTAGTATCTGGTTGAGCAGCGCCTCCGCATCCGCCTTATGCCTGGCCTCTGTTCGAGACCGGCAAGACTCCCAGGTGTCCACCATGGCCGCCACCTTCACGATGTCCTCTGGCACGCGGGCAGGATCCAAGCTCAAAGATGCTTGGGTGAACTCTCTCATGGTCTCCCTGGTGTCGGCCACTGCCGAGAACCGACTGATGGTCTTGATGCCCAGCAGGGCCAGCTTTGCCTTTAAGATCTTCTCCACCTCCTTCACATCGAGGAGGCCCGCGAAGTCGGGGTCCAGCTTAGAGATCAGCTCATCCTGCCGAGCTTCATCATCAATGCCGGCCATGGCGCTAGCACCTGAGGGGTAGGCTGATCTAGCGCCAACCGTCCGACCTGTTGCCAGGGTTTGGCTACCACTTCTCGCAGAACCTTAAAAGCCAAACATTGCAACACACAGAGAGTTCAGGAAACACACACACAGGGTCCCTCCAACGAACAGGGGGGGGGGACCTTGACCCTGACTTATCTCATGCTGGCAAACTTGCCACCATGTTACTAATGCCGATCATGTGCACTTCATTCAAACCCTCGCCAGCTCTCGGCCAACGAGATCGCACAACATCCATCTTTTCTCTGGGAGCAGACATGTCTCCAGAGATTGAGTTACGAGACGGCCTCCTCGGAGACGGCGTCCGAGGAGCTGCTGGAATCTGCCTCGCTTCCCGAGCGTTGATTCTGCACAACTATGCCCGGGAAGCAGATCTTGCATGCCCTGTGATACTCGCTCGGGGGAGGCAAATCCTCTCCGAACGCATCGAAAGTGCGATAGTGCACCCCTGGAACGCGGTGACACTCGCCCAGCCTATGCAAGGTCCTCACTTTGGACCGCCCGACGATGCTCACGTAGTAGCAGGCTGTTTTCTTTCCCAGCTCCACCACCTCTTGTTCATCCGTGGGCTCGGCTTTCTCGGGCGACCCGAGGGGGGGGTAGGCCTTCTCGCTGCCGCTGGAGTCCACACAACTAGTGGCCTCGTCGGAGCCATCGATCACCACGCTGACCATGTCATCCGCCAACTTGGCCCGCTTGCTTGAAGATTCCGCGTCCGACTCCACGTGCGGCTTGAACGACCTCAGCCTCTGCAGGATGCTGGCCCTCCGGTCGAGATCCACCCCCTCATCGCCCATCCTGTTCTCGATCTTCTGCAGCAGGGACTCCTCGTCGAAGGGGTCCGCGCGGCCCTTGTTCACCTTGACACGGGCCGCCATCTTGCGCTGCGCCTGCTCCACCTGGGTCCGAGTGGTGCGCTCATAGTCCTCGTCAACCGATGCCTTCCACCGACCGAGCTTCTTCTTGACCTCCGCGTCGATGCCAGCCACCGCCGCCCACGATCTAGCCGTGGCCCTCTCGCTATGCTCGGTCCAAAGTGCACCTGCTCCTTCGTGCAAGAGTTTCTCGCCCTTGAGATCCCTCAACTCGGAGAAGATGGCCTGCGTCATGCCGACCGCCTCGGTGTAGCGTGCCACCCTGTTCACGAAGTTCACGATGCCCCCCAAGTCCTTCGTCGGCAACGCCAAGAAGTAGTCACGCTCTTCCAGGCCGGCCTTCTCCGCCATCTCCAACCATAGAGAGAATCCCGACTGCAACCAATGCTTCTCCACACTGATCCTTGTGACGGCTTTGCCCGGGCCAGTGGTCTTGCTCTACGTGATGTCCGCCACCAGGCCCTTGGCCGTGAGCCTCATGCTCGACACCTCGATCCCCTGGGTGTCATTGAACCTCATGCCGCCCCAGAGCTTGAAGAGCTTGTACCAAGCGTAACCTCTCACGTACCTGGGCAGATCCATGTCCACCACGGCCCGCTCCAGGGCCTCCACCACGGACACCAGGAACATGGGTGCCTGCTTGCGCCCCGTTGTTACCCGTCTGTCCAGGTAGAGGACCAGCTCCTCCATGCAATTCACCAAGGCCGGGTGCTTGGAGATCCTCTGATCCACCGGGATCTCCGCAGCAATCTCCATGAACATGAGGGTCTTGAGAAGGCTACCTGGCACTGACTTCCCACAAGGTTCTGCTGCTCGCACCTCCAGGTAGCCCACGAAGTGAGAAGGCTGCACAGGCCACATCAAGCCGTAGGCTCCATGAAGCCATACCATGTAGCGCTCCCAAGTCTTGACGTGCTTCCTCAAGGTCGAGGCACGGCGCCCCTTACCTATTCTCTTGGACTTGGCCAGCTCCTCCGAATTCCCGAAGTCCAACGCCACCGAAGCGCCCGCCTTGAAGAGCCCGCAAGCCAAGGCCTTCAACCAACGGGCCCTTTCAGACTCCTCCGCCAATTCCCTGGCCCGAGGATCATCTGCGGCCCCCACCAGCTTCTGCAACCTGGTGGGCCCCTTGGCCAGCTTCGCAGCCCCAGGGGGAGGCACAACCCTGGCTTTCTCCCGATCCAGCATGTCGTGGAACTGCACGTGCCCCATCCGAGACTTCTGCTTGAGCCACACGGCCATCAGCTCCGAGTTCCCCCTGGAGCCCTCCAACCGCCAGGCCAGCTTCGCCGACTTGTCCGCCTCCATGATGAGCTCCTTCAGCTCGAGCGCTGTCACCACATGGAGCTCCTTGACCTGGCGCATCACCGCGAGGAGAACCTCCTCGTCCATGCCCTGCAGCGTGGCCAGCCTCGACGTCGTCCACCCGCACTTGACCAGTGCGGCCGCCAGAGCGGTGGACCGCCCCGTCAAGGTGGCCAGCTGCACAAGCCCCTCCATGGCGTGCTCCATCTACAGCCAAATCGACTCGGGCCTGAACGTTACATGACGTTGCATGTTTGGACGGTGCCCTTTCCTACACATTCCACATCTCTTACTTACCCACATAAAGGAAATTGTGCCATGTTCTTTGACCCTGGTCTAAGTTGTTGTTTGGCTGTAATCGTGTCCAACTAGGATTACAAATTGGGGCTAATTTTGCATAGCCCGCTCCGTGTCATTTCGTGTCTTCAAGTTGATTGAAAGTTCCTCGAAAGTGGACGATTCCTTCTGGAACGGTTCCAGCGCCCTGAGTTCGAGGGCACATTCCCCCAAAGGGCGTGGCCTTTTTGAGGTTGGACCCCCCACCCCCTCAAACTGTGATCGTCCTTTGGCTTTCCCTTTCAAACCAACCAAAAGAGGGCTTCCCAAAAAAGCAATTCCTGTTGGTTTCCCTTTAAAACCAACCCAAAAAAGGGTTCCCCAAAAACAGACAGGCCCTGAAAAACCACGACACTCCCAGCAAAAGAACGCCTGCCACACGAGAGCGCGCTCTCGAGGCGCCGGCAACGCCCGCTCCGTGCGCTGCGCTTTGGCGCGAAGCACCTGGAGCCGTCCCTTTTGGCTTCCCTTTACAACTGGAAATCGGGAGGGTACCCTCGAAAGACACGCCCAATTGACATGAAAGAAAGACACGAGTTGATATGATTGATATCCACCTGGTTGTGGTGTTTTCCTTTTGTTGTTGGAAAAGCTCGTGTTCCAAATGCCGGAATTGCGGATCTTTTGAGGAGCCCCGCGAAAAGCTCCATCCTTTCACAGGATTCACCTTAACGCTTTAGAAAGCAAATGAATCACAATCATAACCGATCGGAAATAAAATAACCCATCGTAAAGAATTCAAAGGCGACCGCACCTTTTTATGCTTGGGACCGTCCCTTACCATACCCGGATTTTGAGCATGGCTCAAATGAAAGTCGACTGGAAGGCAGAATCAGTCAAACCCTCAATCGCGCGTAGTTGCAGTGATGCTGGTGTGATTCATCGTGCAAGTGGCTCAAATATCTGCACAGAGCTTTGCCTAAGAGTAGTAAAGCAAACGTATCAAAGATCGTCGGCATGGCCTAGTTGCGCGGATCAACTTGTTGGGAAACTTGAGGCCGGCTGTGAGTGCACTCCCTATTTGAACCCCTAGATTCTTGTGGGTAAATGGGAAACTCCTCCCTAACCAAACCACCGGGCCCCAAACCACCAAGTGGGAAGCTGAAAACAGTGCTCCAAGTCCCGAGCAAAACTCAGCTTTCGTCGGCTTCCCTCAGGCTCTGGGGCTGTTGGAGAAACGGGGGGTTCGAGTTCGGCATTTGCCTTCTGCAAGACCCAAAGACCCAGGGGTTTCAAACCCAAACCAATGCAAAAACCACCAATGCAAGGGTGAGGTCTCGTTGAGCCAAACAGCCCGCGGTCCCCCCGTCTCTTGGAGCCTTTTTGGAACCGCGCGATCGAACTCGGACATCGAGGCTTGGGAGTTCGTCTGGCGACCATCTTGGATGGGCCGGACAAATCGAAAAAAACGAATCGCAGACTCTGGTCTTTTCTTGGGAAACCTGGCCCAGGTCGGTTCTTTGTGTTCGACTCACAGAGCAGGTCTTGAGCAAGGTTCCTATTCGCACAGACCACTCAAAGTGGCGGGAGCCTGCAACGACCTCGTTTGACCTAGACCCCCGACACAACTTAACTTTTTGCTGGCTGAATGCAACAAATAATGGAACACCGAAAAGGCAAAACAGCTAAACAGGGAAGCCAAGTCTGGCAATGGTTCATTAGTACAGGATGAGGAAAAATGCCAAATGAAAAATTGCATTTGCATCTCTTACAGCCAATCTTGAACCTTCCACTTCCTTGCACTGTGTTCAGCTCAAACTAGGGGACCCCCAAAATGGTGGCTCTCCTCTTGGGTTCTGTAAAACAACCGCACAAAGCCTTTTGACATCCCTGAAGAGCACCGGGAATCCATTCAAAGAACCCCCGAAGGACGGTGTCCTGCTCTTTTTCCCCACAAACCAAGCAGAACAAAGCGGGTCGTCTCAACTTGGGCAACCCCAAAAAACGAGCCGGTGTCCAATTGGTTTCCCTTTAAAAACCAACCCATAAGGGGTTCACCAAAAAAGCAAGAGGCCAATTGCCAGCCCCGGCACTTGCCAAGAAAAATCTGTGCTTGCACCGAGAGCTTCTTCATGTTCCTCGCCTCTTTGGGCGGCACTTTGGTCGACTCCCGACCAAAGCTACGACTTGTGATTTTGGATCGGAGCTTTCCGCTTCAGACAAGTCCAACGGCAAAAGCGTAAGATAAACTCGTACACATATCTTTATATTCGGTGCGGAAATATATAAGACCATATACAATGCTTGGTTGCCCCGAGTTAAGGCTTCAGCTCTTCTTCGTTGCGCAATAAAGTACCTGTCATTTGCATTTACAAAACCCTGCTCAGCCGCAAGCCTTCAAAACGTCGACTGGGTATGCTGCTGAGTCTTCGCCTCTCAGCCGGAACGCGTCGCCCTTCTGAACATCGTACACCATCCGAACTGCCCGGACCGGGCGCGGGAGAAAAAAAAACAGCGCCAAATCTAGGGGGTGTCTTTTTTTGAGTGTACCCCTTTTCGTGGTTTTAACGCGAAACTAAAAGGAATACCCACCATTTGGGGGGCTAATTTTATAAAAGACACACCCATTTGGCTCAAAAACCGCCTTTCTGGCAGGTGTTCAGAGGTTCAACACCTGCGGTCAGGCGCTGCGCCCCAAAATGGTGTCCTATTGGTTTTACTTCAAATACCAACCAAAAGGAGCAACCATCTTGAGAAACTCCCATATCCAATACAAATGGCCTGCATGTTCCCCGGTGTTCGCATTTACTCTGCAAGTTGGCAAGCATGCATCTCCCCTGCATCACCCTAAACCAGGGTTCGGAAAGAAACTGACTGTCCCGGCTCAAGCGTCCAGTCGCCAATCGAAAACACCATCAGAAGCGTGTGATCCTAGCTCCAGGTTCGGGAAGAACTCTAACCCCGCACAATGTTGCAACACACAAACCAGCATCCCCAGCACTCAGCAAACCGAAACCAGAAGACTGGCAACAAATCTCACCTCCTCTTTCAACTTTCTAGCAATTCTCAGAATGGCCAAATGGCCGATCCAACACAAGTCTCGGTATCTCCTTGCGGTAGCTTGCACGATGCCAAGGCCAGAACTGCTGAAGCAGGGGACTGGTGCCTGGTTCTTTTTCGCGACAAGGGCACAAGATGAAAGGCACCACTTGCCCTTTGACCACTTTGCGCCCGTCCCCCCACCGCCTGGGGAATAAACTCACTGGCTTCCCCACGTGTCCCACTGAGCGGTGGTTTCAAGTATCACCCCTTGGTTGCCGATTGCCAGCTGACTTTTGGTTCTACCTCCTTACAATCTTCATGAAGCTAGGTAGTAGAATCACCTACTAAAGTGGCCCTTGTCCCTTTTGGCTTTGGGCGCCTGGACATATGTCTATAATATATATATATATATATATGTATATATATACATATATATATATATATGCAGTATGTATATATATATATATACAGTATATATATATATATACACACACGGACATACCTATAGGGAGCCCCAGGCAAGGCCTCAGCGCCTCAGCGCCCAGGGACCTTCGACTCCTGCGAGTCGCCGGTTTTGCTCGCCCCCAGACCCCAGACCCCCCAAACAACCCCCAAAAAAAAAGAACAGAATAATATGAAAACAAAGATCTCCCTCCAAAAAGGCAACCCGGCAAAGGCACCCTCCAAGTCAGCACACCTCCCACCCCTCCCACCCCCAACCCCCCAAAAAAACGGAAGACGAATGCCCCGAACCCTAGTCACTGGTCAAGGCCGCTTCACACTTCCCATTTGCCAAGGCAGCGCCTTGGTTTGCTTTGCACGTTCCAACATGGGTGGGGCTTTTCCCTTTGCGCCGTTTCCGGCTCCGTATTGATCGGATATGAGAGATCACAAGTCTTGAATCAATCGAAAGTGTTGCAAACCAATTCCTGAGCACAACCCCCCCCCATCCCCCGGCAATTTTACTTTGATGTCTTGCAGGGTTCCTTGGTGGATACATCAAGCAAACGACCTGCAAGGGGATCCTCCAAATCAGCCAAGGCAAAAAAAAGTCACCATTCCTCGGGCCCAAAGTCTCACGGGTGTTTCCGGGACCCAACCCCCCCCCCCTGCCGGGGCCCCCGGAGCCCCGCCGGGGCAAAGGACAGCAGCTTCAGAAACTCCTCCGGAAACGTCGAATCACGTCGTTGGGGGGAACTGGAAGGGGCTTTTGGAGGCGCGAAACCTTTTATGGCTTGGGTCTAAAAAGGGGGGCCAACAGGAAAGCCACGATTTGGGGGGGGGGTGAAAAAAAGGCACCCGTGTAGATGTATAGATGAGAAGGATGGGGTGGCGCACTATGTAGCTCTTTTCCAGCGGATAAGAAGTGACACTTGAACTGGTACCGAGTGGATTTCGCCCAACAGTACCTCCCAAACATAGCTGTCAAGAGATCCCATGTTTACAGCTTCCCACTCGTTTGGTGAGCGACCAACAAGAACAGGTTGCATGCGACTGCACCCAATCTGCAAGACTGTGCACTCTTGGCCCTAGGCCCCATTCTTTTCAACCATCGTTCTTTTCAAAAACTGGCTGTTTCCCCTGGGTGTTTGATGGTTTCCTGAAAAGATTCGGATCCCTGGGTTCAGAATGGAAATGGATCCGGTACCCCTCGAAAGATCTGTTGGCTCCATAAGTTCAAAACCTGAAGCCCCAAACCCCAGGGCCAGATCGCTGGTCCCATGAAGTGGGAATAAGGCTACAAGGACCTACGTCAGAGCCGAGTAAGTCAGAATGATTGGGAGCATGGGACTTTGAGAACATGCTCACGGAAAGAAGCACCAAGAAATATCCAAACAAAATAGGGGAGACCCGAAGAGTATGGTTTTCTTTTGGTTTTCTTTGAATCAACTCTCGAAGGGGTGACAAGTATCCTAAAATAGGGATTTGGGCCCCACGAAGGGTGGTGCTTCCTTTTGTTTCGCTTTAAACAACCCCAACAAGGGTACCCTCAAAAAAAGACAGACCCATAGTCGTGAGCAACCTGTCTCGAATGTGCACTCCTGCTCGGTAACTTTGCCGTCGCAATTCTCATCCGCGCGTCGCCAAATACCACCCACCTGTCCGGATCCCTAAAGTAGAAATGACACTTGCCAGTTTGTCTCCAGAACCTGAAATCGCTCCCCCAGACTGCCTGCGAATCCGAGATCTCAGTTACACAACTCCACGTCACATGACGCCCCCCCTCACAAAAGCACTGATATTGGGCGAATGTCACCATGTTTCTGCCCTCGCAGCAAGAAAGGCCCCTAAATACAGGGTGGGTTCCTTTAGGCTTCGTCTTAAAACCACCTCAAAGGGCAAACAAACGGCACACACAGCCATCTGCTGGTAATAAAAGATCCCTCCCGCCTGCGCTTGGCTCATGCCTGGGCAGGCCTCAAAACAAACGCAATCCGAAATGCTTCGCAAAATTGGGATGTGGACACTACAATGGATTCCGGTTGTTGGATTCCTGGTGGTGCCGGCTTCCTCTAACCACAAATGGTTGAGATACTAGAGTGCGGGTGTGTGTGTGCGTATGCGCAGTGTATGTGTGTGTTGGTTGTGGTGTGTGTGTGTGTGTGCGCGTGTGTGTGTGTGTGGGTGTTGGTTGTGTGTTGGTTGTGTGTGTAGTGGTTGTGTGTGTGTGGGTTGTGTGTGTGTTGGTTGTGTGTGTGTGTGTTGGTTGTGTGTGTGTGTGTTGCTTGTGTGTGTTGGTTGTGTGTGTGCGTTAGTTGTGCGTGTGTGTTGGTTGTGTGTGTGGGTTGTGTGTGTGTGTTGGTTGTGTCTGTTGGTTGTGTCTGTTGGTTGTGTGTGTTGGTTGTGTGTGTGTTGGTTGTGTGTGTGTGTGCGTGTTGGTTGTGTGTGTGTGTGTTGGTTGTGTGTGTGTGTTGTATGTGTGTTGTGTGTGTGTGCTGTTTGTGTGTTTTGTGTGATTGTGTGTTGTGTTGTGCGTGTGTTTTGTGTGTGTGTGTTGTGTTGTGTGTGTGTGTGTCGTGTGTGTTGCGTGTGTGTCTTTGTGTGTGTGTTGTGTATGTGTTGTGCATTGTGCGTGGTGTGTCTGCGTTGTGTGTGTGTTGTGTGTGTGTGTTGTGTGTGTTGTGTGTGTGTTGTGTGTTGTGTGTGCGTTGTGCGTGTTGTGTGTGCGTGTTGTGTGTGTGTGTTGTGTGTGTGTGTTGTGTGTGTGTGTTGTGTGTGTGTGTTGTGTG